GTAAATTACGCTATGTCAGGTGGACTCAGATGGGTATAACAATTTAAAATAACACTTTGAATGCATATACAACATATAACCTGTCGAGTATATGGTAACCAACGCGTGTCGTTTTGAAAACAGCGTTTTACCCGCATCTTGCAAGATAATGGAATGATTCCAATTGTGGGCGTGCCAATACAACGGCGCCATCAAGTCTAGATTGGAAAAGACCCAAGTGTTTTGCAAAGTTCCAACATATATTGCTAACTGACTGTCCGAATAATTCTCAGAACGGCTGTAATTTGAGTTCTAACTAGATTAAACTGTAATTGCATTCCTATGTATGATTGCATTTTAATCGTTGTGCTGCCCAACAGATATCGGGTACGGACCGTGCTTTGGTGGAAGTTACGATAACAATGAGATGGAGAATACAGTCATACAAAGACGTATACGTGATATACGCATTAAATTGAAATGTACCTGTCGGCCTTTGGGGGGATAGTTCCATGTATGATTACCATTTTTCCAGGACTCAGACGTCCAGGGATTTGACCAAGAAAAGGAATGCTCTGTTTAAAATAATACATAAATCTATATTATTGAAAAGTATATATGAAGTGCGTCGAAGTACCATTATGTTAAAATGATTGTCATTCGACCATCATGAATCATTTCATGAAACAAATACGTGTATATATACCGATATATATGTACATTTTAGTTAGATCGGTTCAAACATGTGTTAAAAAACGGTTAGATACGTGGACTAAATATTGTATATGCATGTATAAAATGAAACAGTCAGACATAAGTAACAGGTACAGTTCTCTAATTATGGAGAATCGTTGTGTTTTTATTTTATGTCATATTTTATAAGATTAAACTATATTATATGTTATAATGAACAGATATGACTAATCATATAAATAATCAGCTTTCACATCAATTATATAATTAAATTTCGCAATGAAATTCTTTAAAAATAATGGTGTAATGTATATATTACACAAATCATGTTCAGTGTGAGAGTTATATTAATTAACTCACAGGTAAAATAATGTATTATTATTCTTATATACAAAAAATATTCAAAAGTGTTATCAACGATAAAATTACAATCGGCGTGATCAATGGGATATTTTTTATTTTCAGTTGTGCAAAAATGTACAATTTCGGTTATACTCCAGTTTTGTGTCTCAGACAAATAAATCGATTCCTAGTTATAAAAACCCACAAACTGAATTATTTATATATAATGAAAATTTTACATTATATCTCACTTAATTATAAAAAAATATTAAATAATATTTATTTGCAAATAAAGCAGTTCCTTGGTGTACAAAATTTCATCATCATCATCAGTGGAATAATTGAAACGAAATCAGGTGACTGGCTTCAAATTAAAGTATGTCCAATCAAGTTAAATTAAATTGAATTCAAACAATAATATCAAATAACAGAATAAGAAAGAAAATATTTCTCATGTTGTATTTACAAGTTAAATGTTTAAAAGTTCAGTAACATATAATGAAACAAGCCGGTAGGCTGGTTGGCGATCCGCTCCGCTCAAAAACAAGCAACATGTTGTTGGCTGTTTCCATGGTGTGACATAAACGTGAAGCTAACGTCGGTTTATAACCAATACAAAGTTCGCAAACACCATTCAGTCTTTAGAAGTCACTTAGTTTATTACTAGGACCACAGTCAGTATTCCACACAGTATTCTGCTGTTACATTTTTTATTTCCAAGCGTTTTGCGATAGGATTTTCTAGAATGAAGCGTTTCCTGTAAATGCTAGAAAGCGAAATAACGAAATGGTAAATATTTACCTAAATTACAATGTGTTGACCTTCATAATAATATACTTCATAATGCAAAACACTAGTCACGGTGAGTTATTTAAATATACGACTCCTAATCACCACAGTCCAGAATTTCAGACGGA